AAAAAAAAAAAAAAAAAAAAAAAAAAAATTCCTAAAAAACGTGACAGTGCGTTTCGCACGTGTCGGATGGTTATTGAAGCGAAAAAAAACCAAAAAAAACAAAAAAAAAAAAAAAAACGGGGTTAGTATACACGCAGGAGTAAGACTTGACGTGATGGTAAGCGGAGGGAGAGCGAAATATTTATTAGCGCAGTAGAGTCCAAGGAGAACGGAAGGATCCTTAGAGGGACGAGAGAAAGCGACCGCGGCATTGTGTGTAGTTCTCGTCACTTCCGAGCCGTTGATCTCGGGGGCTCGCTCCTCTCCGAAGCTCATGTCTCTTAATCTTCCAGTATACGTAGGCAAACGATATACCCAATGAGCCGTGCGATGGAAAAAAAAAATATCAATGGCGACCTAAGAGAGATGTAGGGAGAAGGATTTGCTGATTTTTTTTTTTTTTTTTTCATTCAGCGAGTGCAGTAGAATAGAAAAAATGACGGTCGCCTAGTGGCGAAAGTTATGGAAAAAAGGGGCTTCGGCACCTCTTTTTTTTTTTTTTTTTTTGCTCCTCTTTTTCCGTACTCGTATACCCCTTTTTATATGGTTTGCCATATACGGATGCGCGCTTCTCGGGGTTAAATTGGCACTTTTTTTTACGACGACGCTCCGTAGTGCAGTCGAGGGGAGTGGAAATTAATTGCGTTTCACGATGACGCTCGTATTCGCCACGACGACAGCTACACTCGGTGCAGAAGTTATTGTACAATAACTTTCTCGCCTGAAGCATACTTTGCGTATGGTATACTTGGGATGTAATAATGTATGGAAAATTTTCAGTTTAGATTTTGACGGGATGAATTTGGAAAAAATGACGATTACGAATGTTGACTTTGAGTGTAGAAAGGGATACATGCTCTATTCTCCGCTTTCACGAAACTTTTTTAGACCAGGTGTCATATGAAAAAATTTTACACGTTGAAAACAAAAAATAAAATTAACTAATCGGTTTACAAAAGATTATTTTCCGGGCTGAAAAAAAGGCAAGTTCTATCATTAAAAAGACGAAATTAAATGACATTATTACGTGTCCATATGTGTATTATCTATCCATATGTAGCGCTAAAGCCAAAGATTAAAATAAAAATACACGAAAATTGTACGTTTATCAAGCTTCTTGTAAAAAATCGTAGACATTAAAAAAAAAAACATAGAGTTGGAAATTTGGCGAACTTAATAAACAGTTATTTTAAGATACACCTCATAAAAACTATATTGACACACATGAACTGAAAAAACATTCAATTAATATATAAAACTTATTTTGACGTGAAGAAAAAAATCTTACAATATGCATCTTTTGAACGACTAAATATTCATACTTCATGTTAATGTTTAATTAAATTTTTCAGGTTGTCCAAGATAGCTAGATAAGTCACGTTTAATGTAACTGTAATGTAAACGTAAAATAAATACGCATGAGGTGTAAGTAAAGTAAATGCTTTGGCTTTGATTGTGAACCTATGGTAAGATCGAAATGGGCCATCCAAAAATGGTAAGATGATTCGGTACAGGTAGCGCGATGGAACCGTTCCCCGCGAGTCGCACTCAATTGGAACCAGTTTGGCAAACTCTTTCTACGTGCACAATGTCACAAGAGGCACTTCTCGTGTACTGCGAAAAAAAAGATGCCTCGTCTGCTTAATTTTTCAAGGTCTCGTTAACAGAAAGGCGCAAATGGTACAGTTAACCGCTGTAAAAGAAAAAAAGAAAGTTGCTCCCCAGCAAGGCTCGCATTGTGCAACGAGTCGTCTTCCCTGCACTTTGTCGCCCAAGAAATTGAAAAGTCACGCAACAATGCAACAAAAAGCTCTCTCTCTCTCTCTCTCCCTCAGCCCTCTTCTTCCTCTCCTTCGTGTACGTACTTGGCTCCTATTATTTTTCAACTCCTTTTTTTTTTTTTTTTTTTTTTTTTTACAAAAGCCGAAAATTGCTTGCAGCCGAGTAAAATAAGGGNTTTTTTATTTTAAATATACCAAAAACCCGATGATTGTACTATTTTATTAAAATATTCGTTTAAACATTTTTATGCGTATAAATTAGTTGTAACAATTTTTGACGACTATCGAATAAGTCATATTAACCGCGTAGCCATAGTATGGTGATAAAATAAAATAAACCGAATTGTTTTATAATTTATCGCACATTAAATATGTAAGTAGTAGCTCTTCGAGCAAAACTAACAATACTTGGTGCACTTCTGACGAAAACTATCCAAGCTATATATTGCGCTCGGACAAAAAGGATTAGCCTTACTTTTCACGGTGTCGAGGTGATAGCATACTTCCGCAATTTATATAATTACTTTATTGTTTATTATGTCCGTATTTTTCTTTTTTTTTTTTTTTTTTTTTTTTTTTTTTTTTTTTTTCTTTACAAAAGCCGAAAATTGCTTGCAGCCGAGTAAAATAAGGGGGGCTACTGCGCTGTCTCATGCAAATCGGGTGCCTACCTTTTTTTCCATTCCCCGCGCCTCGTTGCGTTATTCTCGGCCGTTGACGTCGGAATTCACCTAACGTGAGTACCGCGCCAACCCCCCTTTTTTTCGGAGATGCGTATCTTTCGCGGGCCCACAGTGGACACGCCGCCGCAGGTGGGGGGTCTGCGTTTGATCCGTAATCTGGTTCTGCACCCCCTCGAATTTCTCTCTTTTTTTTTTTTTTTTTTTTTTATCGCCGCTGCGGTTGTTTCGGTTTTGTTACACGCGATACTGTGACTTATGATTTATGGACGACTATCCGCGTGCCCTGTTATTATCCGTCATTATTGTGGGGCAATTATGAGATAATTGAAAAAAAAAAAAAAGAAAATGAATTGTAGTTCATTGACACCGATTCTATTGTCTTTTTAACTATTAACACCAGTAAATAGTTGTAATTAGTTGAAACAACTATCTTTATTTGTTTATTCGGTCAAGCAAAAATTAATATTTTTCTGTTTGTTTAGTCCCAGAATGACTTTGTAGACAATAATCCAAACAAATTTGTTGGATTTTAATTTAGAGCTCATGAATACAATCGCACAATCGTGGCTGGAAAAATCTCACGATATTGAAAAATATGGGACCGCGTTGTCATTACTTTGATGGAAATATAGCGTGTTGCGACAAGCAATAGGTGAAAATCCATTTGAAAAGAATATTTTTCACCATTTGTCAACGTGTCCCATGATTACGATCATCGAGTGGATGAATTCGGGAGTTGTGGTAGTTGGTGACTTTGATATTATACCAACGGAAAAGTCACGATAACAACTATAGGAAAAAACATATTTTCCCACCAGGTGTTTTGTCAATGTTCACGTAAAAAATAAGTCAGAAAATCTGTATCACAACAAATGATTCACATTGACAAATGGCCTAACGAACAATGCACACGTATTCGGCCGAGTGTGGGCGGCAGGTGCCCCCTCGTAGACCTCTTGATTTATACGAGAGCTCCCCCCCCCCCCTCGAAAAATTGAATACTCCTACGTGCTCTTCGTGTTACGTACCTCGTTGGAGGCACATTGAAGCCAAAGCTAATACGTATAGCGTCTGTCTACCTATATGCGAAGCGATCGAAACGAGATTAGAATATACAGAAGTGCACGCGCGAGCGTGTACACATGTTTTTCGTGTAAGATACGGGTGGTATGTATATAAGGCGCGGGCGCCGAGGGAGTGCTTTTGTATACCCATATATACGTAAAAAGCAAAGCCTCTGGACTTAATGGGGTGCGAGCAGATGTTTCTAATGCAGTGTATATGCTGGCGCGTAGGTCGATGCGAGGGATTAAATTTCGGGAATTTTTTCGTTACGTGTAGCTCGCGCGCACCGGCTACCCTGAACATTTTCACGAGCACTGTTGTATCGCGATTTTTGGCGTGGAATCCTCTTGCGATCGCTACATTTTTCAACTGTCTGTACTTACGAGCGAAATTTTCGTATGGATAAAAATTTGCAAACATGTACATACAAGGGCCATTTCACAAAAACTGCGATGTTCCATGAAGCCTATGTTTTTAAAAACTACGGGTTTAATTATTTCGAGTCAGAGTGAAAACCAATTTTTTCTGGATACATAATTGAGGTCAAGTAGAAAATTTTTTTTTTTTGGTGGCCTTAAGATTTAATAAACGGGCCGAAATGTCATTACCGTAACGCGAAGTATTTAAAAATTTCTTTTATTGCGGCTTCTGGTGCCTGGACTTTGGTTTTTTATTCTTTGTCAACAAGTTTGAGGTATCGAGAACCTTATCCGTCAGTTTAGGACAGAAAAACAATTTTTTTTGTTTTTCGCGTATGGGACGTTCTATTCGTGAAGTGTACTTTTAAATTGTGTGCCACAAATGATCCAACTTTGCCAAGCAATTAATTTTTTGACACTTGGAATGAATTGTTTTGTATTCTGGATTGTACATGAACAATGTCAATTTTTTTGCTGCCCCAAATTTAAAGATGGTTATTTGAGGTGTCGTCGCGAAAACAGGGCAAAATAAGTGGCCATTACCGTAACGCCCCTAATCTCCGAGGGATTTAAAATTATTGACTAGATGACCATAGTAGTAAGCAAAGGTCTGGGCAGTAGATGTTACAAAGGAAATTTTTGTGAAATGACCCATATAGTATAACCAAAGTGAATTACTTGTTTGAAAATTTGTGTCATTTGAATTGAATTACTTGTACAACATTATCTCTTTTGGATTTACTATTTTTACATTTGTTGGATAGTAAAAACACGGATTTTTTCACAAACAACAAACCATGGGGAGTGACCGCTTTTGTGCAAGTTTTCACGTACTCGCATTTAACGCACTTATTTACCAGCAACGATACATCAATTAACCCTCGATGATCCATTGGACAATCACAGAGACGCCTATACATATATATATATATTTAGGTAGGGATAGGTAACCAGGAGACGTTAATAAATGTTCGAATATATCCGCTTGAAAGCTCAGTTGACGATCCGTGTCTCACGAGTATTAATCTATTTTCCATATCCAATGAAAGTTTATCGGCCAACAAGTGCATATACCTACACAAGTGGAACGTGTGTTACATAAAATTATTACTCTGGTCGCCGGTTCAATCTTATTTCGAGGTGAGTTTTGTATTTTTATTTGTTCTTAATATTGAAATGGACAAATTTACACTCAGCCCTCGGGATCTTGTACAAAAATCGTTTACAGTTTTATATCTTACTAGTAATGAGAATGATAAAAATCTAGTGGAAAATCACTTGAAGTAATACCCAACGAGTTATCGACAAATAGTTTAGACGGGTGAGAGTTAGTTGAGAGTGTTTGCCTTGTAACGTTGCGATACCTCTCACTCGGTGTCAAAGACCCAGCTTGTGCGGGCCCCCGTGTTTACAAACAACGGCAGCGATAAATGTCCGTTCGAAAGGAAAATATTCCAACGGCAACGCTCAACACCACAAGTACCAAAGCCTTTTGATATATAATTGCGATTTCAGGCAACAAATTATCGAAAAGCACCGGTACGAGATGCGGGAGCTCGTGGGACTCCTGTTGCTGGTGTGCCTGTCCGCGGAACCGAGCCGGGCCCGTTTCACGTGTCCCCCGCAAACCCCCGGCTGCAGCTGCACCGAGTTCGACAGAAACGATTTTCGGGTGCACTGCACCGCGGCCTCCCCGCACGACCTGGCCATACGACCCGGGGAGTACGTGGGCATCAAGTGCGGCAGTGGACACCAGTGGGCCCACTTCCTCAACGGCAATAGGCTCAAGGTCGGCTTCGCCGAGACCCTCACGCTGTCCGAGTGTCGGCCCATCGACGCCAGGGCCTATCGCATGATTCTATCGCGCCTCGGGCTACGCCTCGGACGCAGCATTCGGGCGATAAGGTACGAGAACCTCGGGGCCCCCCTGCACCCCGGCGATCTCGACTTTTTCCCCAACCTCAGGAGCCTCGAACTCGCCGAGAATAGCCTCGCCGGCGTCAGAGTGGATCTACTGAGGGGTCAGCTTTTTCAATGTTGCGTTTGTATTAATTGCGCCGCGGGTGTTGTGTATACGGTATCGATTGTTCCTCAGGACTGTCGGGTCTGCGGTACATCGGGCTGAGGAGCACGGGCCTTCATCCACCGGCGGGTTTCTTCAGCCGGTCGCGTAGTTTGGAAACTATAGAGCTCGGCTTCAATGGCATCGATAAACTCGAGCCCGGCGCGTTCGACGGCGCCTACAGCGTCCTCCAGATCAACCTCTGTGAGTATATTTTACGATTGTCACGTCAGTGGTTCGATCGGGGATTTCGAAGGGTTTGGTTATTTAAGGGCTTTTTGCAATTTTTTTTTTTTTTTTTTTTTTTTTTTTTTTGTCACTATTGTTGATGGCAGTGTTAAATTTTATTGCAAAGTGTTTCAAGTGAAACATTTACTATAATTACTTTAAATGCTTTTTTTTCTGCTTTAATTGCTTTTTCTTTGAAATCTTTGAGTTGTGTCGTTTTCGGGGGAGAAAAATTTTTTGTGTTGATAAATAGTACATCACGTCACTAGGGCGCACAGTACGAGCTTGAGCGGTTGTTTGTTTGTGCCCGAGCAAAAAGTGCCGTTGCCACGAAAAACGCCCCGAAGTAGAGGGAAAAAAAAATTTTGTTGGTGCTTGCACTCTCGATAGGAAAACTGCTATTTCATCATTATATTAATGGATTAAATTTTTGTGAAAACCCGTGCCTGAACATCTCGATGTATGAATGAAAATTCGCGACAGTGTGGTTTCATAATAATGACGATGCCATTTTCTGGAAAGAAAAAAAAAAGTAACAATAATAATGGTAACGAAAATTTTAGGGATGAACAAGCTGAGCAACCTTGACCCCCTTGTCTTCCGTAACCTCAGTTCGCTTCGCGTCCTCGACTTGAGCAACAACCAACTCAAGAACCTGCCCGTCGACGTCTTTGCCGATTTGCGAAACTTGCAGCTACTGAACCTCAAGCGGAACGCCCTTACCGAGCTGCCCAAGGGTCTGTTCCGAAAAAACCCCAACCTCCACACCATCGAGTTGTCCTACAATCGCCGAAAGCTCGCTCGGCTGCCGGACGCTCTGCTCGCCAACTTGCAATTTTTGAAGGTCGCGCGCCTCGGAAGCCTCGGCCTCGAACATTTGCCCGGAAACCTGGCGTGGAACTCGGTCAAACTCGAAGAACTCGACCTCAGCTGGAACCACCTGTCTGGCCTTCCTGCACTGCTTCTCAAAGACGCGGCTGCCCTGAAGAAGCTCCTCCTCTCCGGAAACGACATCACGGCCATTCCCGACGGCTTCTTCCAGCGGACCAAGCACCTCGAGGTGCTCGACTTGTCAGGCAACCGCCTGACCTCCATCAACGAGTGAGTTGTTTTTTTTTTCTCTTCCTCCGCTCGACCAACATCCCATCATTGATAATTCCATTTCGCGGTGTCCCACAGGAGTACCCTCGAAGGCCTCAGATGGCTCGAGGAGCTGAACCTGGAGAACAACGAGCTGACGTCCATCCATCCCGAGGCGTTTGCCGACCTCGAGAACCTAAAGATCGCCAGGTTGGGCAACAACAAGCTCACCATGCACACCGACTACATTGACGTCTTTGGCCGCGTCTCGCCTCTGCGCTACAGCACCGGCCTCCGCGAGCTCCACTTGGCCCGCAACAACGTCAGCGAGCTGTTTAGCGACTGGATCATCACCTTCACGCAGCTGCGCAAACTCGATCTGTCCAACAACGCCATTGCTGAACTGAGGGTGAGTTTATTTATTGACCCTTGGAAAAAAAAAAAAAAAAAAAAACAAACCTACGAATTTGGACGTGTTTGCTCGTCAGGTGGAGGACTTGCAGTTCACGTCGGACAAGCTCAGAGTGGACCTGAGTAGCAACAACATCAGCAAGGTCGATTTGTCCCGCCTCGAGTCTATGGCTACTCCCATGGATGGGCAACCGCGAGACGTCACGGTACAGCTCCAAGGCAATCCGTTCGAGTGCGATTGCGACGTGTACCCGCTGCTGCGCTACCTGAGCAACGACAACCACGTCAAACTGGAGCTAAAGGGCGCCCAGTGCTCGGGCCCTGGCTACATCAGCGGCGCCGATCTCGACCAGCTCGACGCCGAAGCTTTCATCTGCAAGCCCACGAGCAACGAGTCCTATTGGTCGGTCGACGACAACAGCGACCCCTGTGGCCCCGAGGGGGCGTGCGAGTGCTGGCTGAGACCGGCCGGCGAGATGCTGGTGATGAATTGCTCGGACAGGCGGATGAGCCACGCCCCCGAGCGCATAGTCCTCCACGGCGCGAAATCGGTAGCCCTCGATCTTAGCCGCAACCACCTCACCGAGGCGCCCGACATGGCAGACCCGGGCTACGACAGGGTCGTCTACCTACTGCTCAGCGACAACAGGATCCACTCCGTCAAGGACACCCTGATCTCATCCAAGCTGCAGGTATGGCTTTTCTTGCACCGATCAACGTAATCGGAGGTAAATACGTGTGGTGTATTTCATGTGTTTCAGTATTTGGCGCTGGACGGTAACAACCTGATGCACCTGGAGCTCGGGGTCCTGGACCTCATAGCCAGCAACGAGAGCTCGATCGCCGAGCTGGTTATGCACGACAACCCATGGAGCTGCGACTGCAACGCCGGTCCTCTCCTCGACTTTGTCCAGAGCCACGCTAAAGACCTGCCGAGTCTCCTGGACGTGCGTTGCGCCGACAACGCGACCAGACTGCTCGATCTGTCCCGCGTCCAGCTCTGCCCCTCCTCGTTCCCGATAGAATTCTTTCTGTCGGTGATGGTCTTTTTCGGGGTCTCGTGTTTCCTGCTTGGGCTCGGGAGGCTCTTGTACGTGCGCTGTTGGAAGCGGGTCAAGGTGCTGCTGTACTCGAGGGGCCTCTGCCTGTGCCTCGTCACCGAGGAGGAGCTCGACCATGACCGGCCCTACGACGCGTTCATCAGCTACTCCCACAAGGACGAGGGCTTCGTCAAGGACAAGCTGTTGGCCAATCTGGAGGCCGGGCCGGCGCCGTACAAGTGCCAGATTCACGAGCGCGATTGGCTAGCCGGCGAGTGGATTCCCAAACAGATAGAGCGAAGCGTCGAGCAGTCGAGGCGCACGATAATCGTGCTGTCGCGCAGCTTCGTGAGGAGCGAGTGGAGCAAGTTTGAGTTTCACGTGGCCCACGCCCGGGCCGTGGAGGAGGGCCGTATCGTCCGACTGATCGTCGTTTTGCTCGACGATTTGAGCGCGGAGGAGCTCGACAAGCTCAATCCCGAGATCGCCGAGTATATCAAGATGCACACGTATATCAAGTGGGGCGATCCGTGGTTCTGGCACAACTTGTACTACGCGCTGCCGCATCGCGGTAGACGGCCCCGTCGGGACGATTGCTCCGACGTCGGCTCGACCGATCACAAGGGTGACACGCGCGTTTGATCATTGAGAGAATTTTTTTTTCTTTCTCAAATGGATTTTTATTACCAGTGATTTTTTGTTTGCGATCTTTTAATTTTATCGACATTTTTTTGTTCGTTTTTTTTTCGAAAATTTGTTAGAATACTAACAGTGATTTTTTTCACGAGTCATATGAAACGACAAACAATTAAATACTTCGCGTAGGTGTGACCTTTTTTTTGTAAATAGTTAGTGATAAGGGAGATGACTGATGAATTGTTGACGCTATCTTGATTTGCGCTTATATATTTATTTGTATATAAATAATTTTTAATGACTGACGAGAAAATGATCTGCTTTGAGAGAAAAATTACGTACTCTTTCTTTACGTGTTAAGTTGCACATAAATTTAATATATTTAATTTATATATTTTAGNGACCTATCTGACGGCGGATAACTGGTACGTTAATCATACATTGGCCCAAATTTTGGCTTAAAAGGGGAAAGTATAGAAGTAAGTAAGGAAAAGAAAAAGAAAGTAAAAAAAAATCAGTCCTTATGCAACACTTTCAGTTAAATCATATTTTCTTGGTAATATACTGCAATAACTTTACGTTTTACGTCTCGTTCAAGGTTTTTTCCATTCTCTTTCAATGTACTTGAAAGTCTGACAGTGTATTTTATGAATTTATTAAAACTTGTATGAATTCTGTAACAGTGTGCTTCTACTGTTGCGTTGCAATAATTTTTTTTTAGCTACACCATTTTTTCTTAGTTTATGTGTTTTTTGCGTTTTACTAAAACTTAATGAGGTTCTATAACAGTGTGTTTCTACTATTTTGTTGCATTAGTTTTGATAGCTAAACCGTTTTTCTTAGTTTTTTACATGTGAATAAACAAAGTAACGATGGAAGCATCCATGTTCACTACTTTGTTTGAGGTCGTACGTTCTCATGCGATATACGCAACCGTAGTGTCAGAATATGCACGTAATGTGTACTCTGGAAATTGTTTAAAGATGTGCTACCTGCATAATTGATTAACGAATTCATTGGAGTATCGCAGGAGCTTTTTATCATTCACATGGCGGGCGTGCATACAGTCACGTTGTACCCTCTATATTTAACTTATAGCCCTATAGTCATGTAAGTGGTGGTAAAGTCTATCACCAGATGCTACGAATAACAGAATGCTGAATGAAATGTACAAGGCGTACGATAGTGTTAGTAGGTGATATATTGTAGTTTTACAAAAACTTTTATGCTTACAAAATTTTGCATGATGAAAAAAAAATAAAGCGAACCCTTTTTAAGTTGCCAAAATATATATCGAAGATTTTAACAACCTTTCAAACGTTGATGGTACAGTTAAATATATATATATATATATATACTATACATTTTCTGTGTATATTTTTCTTTCTAACGTTATCTGCACACACTACACGAGTCTGGACTAAAATCTTCAAATACTACAGTGCTTGGTAATAAAGTAATTCAGTACAATGGTAGCAAAGTGTAAGTTAAAACAAAAAATAGTTAAAATGTATGATTTAAATACAAAACTATATTTTTCGAGTAAGGACGAGTATACAATGTCATGTAATTTTATTTAAACAATCATTGTGAATTTTCGATAGAGAGTGTATAATGTAAAACTTAAGTTGTACGCGAACGTAAGTCAATTCAATAAACTATTAATGAAATTGAAAAGTACAGATAAGTTCGTTGATATAATTAAAATCGATAAAATCATTGACGGCTTCAAGTATATTGATAATTTTCGTCAGGAGCGTGGCAAGAGAGTGAGATATGTTATTTATTTTTTTTTTTTTTCGTCAGAGCCTTCGATATATTATCTACTCTAATTTCAATTTTCTATTTTGTCACGCTTGGGAAATACGAAACTAATTTTTTTCTACTTACTTTTTCGATTCTCAAAAAACGATTACAAACGAAACTCATCGTGTAAAATATTCATACCAAGTACCTACTTTGGTTTCTGAAAAACTAATTTTCTTTTTGTTCCCTTATCATGAAATTAACGATAAATAATCGAGTATCTATTTATTCTTCGTGACAAGAAACGAAATGAAACTCATGTTTCAGTACAGTCCCCGTTGAGCATACTAACAATCGTTTGAATAACCGTTTTTTCTTCACAGTTTACCTACGATTTATATACGAAAAAATATCCCAAAATTACTCAAAAAGTTGATTTTATACTCGAAGCCTACCCACAGTGAAGTATATACCACCGAAGTTTGAATAATCGCACGCGATTGGTCGGCCGCCGTACTCTCCCCGCCTTGCGCTCATACGCCCAAACTTCCATTCGAAGTTGGAGCAGCAAGGGCATTTGAAGCGCATGCCTGGCCATAGGAGTAGCCATTAAATGAGTGTGTGTGGTCGGACAACAACTTCACATTTTGTATTAGTAAAACTTCGTCGTTTGTTGATTATCGATGTACTTGAAAACCAAAGTGCTTTTCTGACCGACTTTTTCGACAACTATCGAAGTATCGAATGTTCGTGTTGATTTTTTTTTTTTTAATTCTCATCAACTTCAGAAAATTATTATTTTTAGTACCGCCACACTAACCTCCAAGTGTACGACTCCGTAATATGCGGTGTTGAGTGCGTTTTGACACTCCGAAGCGTAAATAAATAATAATAATAATCGCGAGTGTTGAAGGAGTAGTGCGCGAATTTGAGTTGAAATGCGACGACGAGTGACCGTGGACTCGCATCACGGGGAAGTTGAGAGGGAACGTGATGCAGAACGGGAGCGCGAGTACAGGAGAAAGAGACTCGAGTGGGAAATTCGGCGTAAAAAAGCCATGGAACACGAGGAGCTTAAGCGTCAAAAGATCGAAGAGTACGAGAGGAATCGAAGAGAAAAATTGAAGGAGGAAGAGCGAAAGCGAAGGGAGCAGCGACATGGTGGAGGCAACAGTAGAAGTCCTAAAAGATCGGAAGACTCGCGCTGCAGGGGTCACGCCAAAAATCACAACAGCCAGCCTGTCATGTCGGAAAGGTATGTGTACATTTATTCTATTGCATTTATTTTCGATTGTTCAACAAAGTGCATTGTCGTTGGGAATTTCAAAAATAGCCCCTTTGGTCGCAAAACTTTACAATTTGAAGTTTTTCCTTATCTCTATTTTCGAGGCTGCAATAGAACGAGAGAGAAAGAGAAAGCTAGAGATGAAAGTGCGCGATTACACACACTTTCTTCGCGTATATACACAATGCAACTTCACTGCATGATTCACCTTCCTTTTAGTCACCGTTTGTACGTATAGCTGTTTGTACTTTTGAATTTATGAAAATAAGCAACTTTCCTCGGTACTATGACTAATGGCAAACAGTAATACTTGACATCAAACTCAAAGAATTTTCAACAAGTGGCTTTGCTCGTTGAATTTGTACAAACATTAGCACCACTCCGTTTTGCATGGGGTATGTTGTGCACGGGGTGCATGAGGACATGAGTGGCGCCATTTCATTTTTTTTAAGCTGTGTATGGATGTATGCGATCAAACAATATTGCATATTTTTCCGCCACCTGCACCCGGAGTGTATGAAAATAGTTTTTTAATTCAGTGGCCCTTGAATAATTCAACTAACTCAAATTAATAAATAAGTGTTACTAAAATGGTTATTTAATGCCTCGTTAAACAAAAAAAATGTTAATTTTATACTTAAGCTTGAACGATATTGATTGTGATTCGAGCACTAACTATCTTTATGAGTATAATATTACTTATTGTAAAAAAAGTTGATGGGATATTTATTAACTACAAGTAATTTGTTTGTTTGCAGAATTGATTCATCCAAGGGAGATAAGCCGTTTTTTAATGGACCTGAGCAATCGAAAACAGTTAACAATGAAGAGTTAAGAAAAATCACAGTGAAAATCCATCGCCACATTCCAACGTCTGCTACAGAAACTAACGAAATACGCCGAGATGTTATTAATCCTGAGGAGATTGTTATCAAGCGAAGAGATGGTAAAGTTTTTTTTTATTTTTATTTTTTTTATATTTGTAGCATACATCAAGTTAACATAATTGAAGATGCGACAAATGTAACTCTTGCTACTCTCGGAAATCTACTATCATATGTCAAGATACTTGCACCATTGAAGAAACATCATTTTGAAGATGTAGTATGGTGTCAAAAAAATCATGTCAATAGTTGAATAAATACGCAACTTTTCAAACAACAAGTTTAAAAAGCAAAAATGTTCATAAATCAAGAAAAAAAGTGTCATTCATATCTCAAGATTAAAATACACATACCATCACTTTCAATTTAGTATCTGTTCATTACAATCATCGAAAATTAGTTCCTGAAAAAAACAATTCAAGAGTCCACGAGTCGTCAGTAAGTCAGCACAATTATTGATGTCTGCTAATTTTTTATTTAGTCTTGCTTTGATAGTCTGATTCTTCTAGCTTTCTATGTTTTTTTTTTTTTTTTTTTTTTTTTTCCCGTTTTTTTT